ATACAGTTAGTAGCCTACAAGTGGCTGCTTCTGTTAATCTTGTTACTGCATTACGAGGATAATCTTAAACCTGCACGATTTTTAAATGGAATAATGTAGCAGCGTTATTGTCAGAAGAGCGGTGTCTGTTTCCGCTTGTTCAGCTTCCATTGTACAAGTTGGATAACGAAACAAGCCAACGCTTTGGTGCGCTGAATTGCATTGCACGTCTTTTTTCAATGCGACCATGACACAGAGATATTGCTAACAGCGTTTAGGCAGCGTCGGCTCTGGAAAGGTTAACTCACACAGTTCAATGTACATTTGCATTAGCACAAGTAGGACACAGTGCTCCCTTTATTGGCATTTTTCATATTACAATGTGAACAACTGCAGATTAATCATACTTCATGCACAGGCCCCGTTTCACAGAATTGAACATTTTCATGCTACAAGTGTCACGTGGGGTGCTGATTATCTCCGATTTACTGGGAAGACAAATCTGAAAGTAGCCTGCCACATCAGTTTCAGTTTACGTGACTGAGAAAACAAGACTATCACAGAGCCTGGCTGTCAGTGAGGTGCAGCCACAGCACTGAATGCATGCATCTCAACTTTGATTGAAAAGGCAAGCTTAGTGAGGTAGGCTCAGTGTTAATTTAAGGGGATACTTGCAGAAAAGCCAAAATAAACAACCTAGCACTGGAAGGAAGAACAATAGATCTACATAAGTATGCAATGATTCAGGGTTCAGTTTCGGGGTCAGGATATGATTCAGGGGATTTGGAAAATAAAAATATATTCTTTATACTTGGCAGGGATTAGTTAAATACAAACAAACCTGTCAGCTGAGGTAGTAAAGCTTTCAACTCCTGGAGACGATTTGATTTAAAAAATAACAGTTGTACGGGACAAAGTGCAAAGTACATCAACTAATTCACACCTCAATATCAGTTTCATGTGATTAAGACGTAACTTAAAAAAAGGCTGTGAGCTTTGAACTAAATGCCGAGGTCATGAATGTCTAAAATGTTTTGGTTATCCATCCAATAGTTAATTATTTCCAACTGCTCCACCAACCAAATGAATAAAAATAATGTAAAACTGGCCTTTTTCGAATGTTCTTTGCAGATTTGAACACAAGTTCCTGCACTGCAGCTTCACAAACTTCAAAACTTCATCTGCAGTACAAGTAATTTGATAGTATATTTTATTTTACAAGCCAAGCCTTTCTTTATTTAAGAGCCAGAACAACGTTTCTTTGTGAACAGTGATTTGAGATTCTTGCGCTGCCACATACTTTCAGTTTGCACAGCAATGATCTCACATTTGTTGACAGACTGCCAAAATCAAAATGTACCTCAACTTTCAGAAGTAAAAGTACTTGTGAGTCCTGTATTATTATATATTATCTTATCGTATTATGATTTCTGATACATTAACATTAGCAATCACAACTAGCATTTGGTGCTGCTAATTTTGCCTTGACTTTTGATGGTTTAGTTGACTTTAAAGCCATGCATCACATTTTATTTATTTCAGTAGATACATCAAGTGCAAGCACTTTGTCACGTACAACTGAACTACAACTTATTTATGAAATCGTCTCCAGGAGTGGAAAGCTTTACTACCTCAGCTGACAGGTTTGTTGCGATGTCTGCAAAACGTTCTCTTCGATCTATTGTTCTTCACGACAGTGCTAGTTTGTTAATTTTGGCATTTCTTCAAGTGCCGTACCCAGTGAATCACTGAGCCTGACAGCCAGGGCCAGGCACTGTGACAGTCTTGTTTTCTCATTCACGTGAACTGAAACTGATGTGGTAGGCTACTTTCAGATTTATCTTCCTGTAAATCGACCCTTCTGCTTGTGGCATGAAAGTGTTCACATGTAGCTCAAGATATCTTGAGCAAAATATCACCTAAATTTACATAAAACATTTTGCAAATCCAAATTTCTCTTTTAACTTCCCACTGTTCCATTTACTCAACCATGTTGAAAATATTGCTAGATTATATCCTCATTAAAATACATTACAAATATTTCAGACAAACAGACTCCCCACTCATAAAAATACCTTATAAATCACAATCTTGCTGAGCATGAGTAATGCCACCGAACAAAGCTGTGTAACTACTGTAGCAAAAATTGTGTGGTCGCATTGTGTTTTTTGGCCAGTGGAACCTGCTTGCGTTCAGCTGCATGAGTCAGTGATGCCGAGAATATTTTCTCCCTCTTCAGATAATAATACTTTTTTTACACAGCAATTTCAATTATAATTTGCTTTATTGGCATGAATGTGTAACAACAATATTGCCAAAGCATCAAACAAACTACATAAGACAATCAACCCCATACATTTCATTAAAGAAGTAATTAAAAAATGAAAAATTTAAATATATTAAAACTTAAAATAAAATAAATAAATAAAACACAGTAATTGTGTGTGTGTGTGCTATAGAACACCTTGGATGATGTTTTTATGCGCGGTCCTGATTTGAAGTCCCTTTTACACTTTGCTACAGAAGCCCTAAGCAGCCATGGATTCATTTATTTTTTTTGTTTTCCTGTGAAATGACAGTGCTTTACTGGTAATTTCAGTATGAACATCAGTGTCACTGGTTAGCTCAGCAGGTAGAGTGCAGGGCTCATACACTTGGAGTTTAGGGTTTGATGGAAGATCAACCTGTTTTTCTTTTTCATAATCTTCTTCCATGAAGTTCTTTTGAAGAGACTGTTTCACCTGCTCACAATAAAGCATGAACTGTGTGCATCCTGGCGATTGGTCCACATCCATCAACCTATGGACATTTCATTTTAACCCATCAATCCTTGGCAGAGGAAATTCCTGCGCTTCTCATTCAGGGGAAAGCATTTAAAGTTACACACATCGATGGCCACTTATGGCTTCCAGCTATTAGCGCAGGTAGAATTAAGTAGCAAGTTTAGTAAATGGATTGTGCCAAAGCAGATCCGCAATTATTAACAGTCACAATTATCATGTAGTCGTGTTGATTAAATTATCAAAACTGTCCCTCAGCTTTTCACTTTCCCCAGTACAGTCTGTTTTTTCTATTTAGAAGTTATGACTATTTGTGCCAAAGTAACACAGCTGGAAAGCAACCATGTTCTTCTTCAGGTATTAATAGGTATTAAACTTCAGATCAGAGTAGTACTGTGCATGCTGGAATGTCTATTGTAGATTATTATTGAAAATTAGGAGTAATTTGCATCAGTGTCATGTTGCATTGCACCATGGCCATTTCTATAAATACTACTATATATATTATTCGGGTTGGCTGTGGCTCAGGAGATAGAGCGGGTTGGCCGTTAATCGAAAGGTCGGCGGTTCGATCCCAGGCTGCATGTCGAAGTGTCCTTGGGCAAGATACTGAACCCCGATTTTTGTATGAATGTGTGTGTGACTGGTGAATGCAGATGTAGTGTAAAAGCTCTTTGAGTGGTCGAAAAGACTAGAAAGGCGCTATACAACTACGGAGCATTTACATTTACTGAAAGACATAATAAGATTCCTACAATCACTGAAACCAAGTTCAGGCTAATCGTTGCATTGATTTGGCATGATGGATGGATGGATTGATTTTCCTGAGAAATACTTGGCTCTTTAGCTGCCAAATGCTCCACTATGTCACCCGCGAGTCTCTAACTTTGTCCGTTGCTCTTTGGTGCTGAGCAGGTAGTGTACAGTGCTTTTATCAGACTTTTTTTTTTTTTTTATCATTATTCATTTCATTCAAAAGTACCATCAGTAGAAATTACCCATCAAAAGAAATCACAGATTAATTAAACATTTCTCTGTTAGATTTTTCTTTCAGAGTCACTTTATCTTTCAGTCACAAATCCATCTTCCTGCTTCTCCATTTTATCTGTCCTCTTGTTTTTAAATAAAAAAAGAAAATATGGGTTGCTGTAAGTGAATGAACTCTTTCAGTTTCGTTTTTTAGATTTCCAGGTGAAATCGAGACTTACCTTGCCTCATTCTTATACCCATATATTAGCACATACAAAGCATACAAAGGGCCACTCAATCACTGTTAAGACTATTAGACTCAGTGGTATTTATGCTTTTACGTCATTGTATTTAGAAGCTTATTGAGTACAGGCGTGGTTCCTGAAACTAACTAACCACGTGATTGCCCACCCCTTTTATTAATCAACTGAAAAGACAAACAAAGAAGGTGTTTTATACTCTACAAGCACAATGTCATTACAAAAGTTCATGAAGATGTTGGTGGATTTTTAACTTGACCCAGTTTGTTTTGTCTTGGACCTTCATTTGGTGGCTTTCGCTGCCATGTTGTAAAGGATTGCATTCAGAAAAATGCTAAAATTTGTCATTTTGGTTGGTAGTTTGCAGGATTACTACTGAATCTGAAGTTCAAGTATCAATGGAAAGTTAACTGAAATGCACAGAAATCTATGGTGAAAAAGATATTTTAAGATATATAACTTTTTTTATTACCTGAAATCTTATGTAGATGTATCATGTCTAAAATGAAACTGTATTGAAGCCCTGGAATGAAATTAGGTGCTTCACCGTGCAGCAAAAGCAAAGAAAGATGAAAAAAGGATGAAAACAGAGCAAATGAAGCAACATCATTGATCAAAGTTACATTCTGCATTTAATTAAATTAAACTATTTATTCTGCACTGCAAGGAATGCCTAATGTGTCATTGCACTTTGAAGGGCCTTAAAGGCTTAACTGCTAACTGCAGATTCAAATACAAAACAACAGTGGACAAAGCAAAGCGAAATACAATACAAAAGTATGTCTCGATGCAAAATGTTTTCACTCCTTACTATTTGTTCAATGAAACCAGTTTTGCAGCTGGCCTATTGTTCTGAAACAAAGTGTGCATACCATTAAAGTCACCAGGACTGTCACCAGCTTGTCGGGTCAGCCTCCAAGTGTATATAAAGATGCTGCAGGTGGATGTGAGTCGCAGAGAACCTTGAGAAACAGGTGAGTTTGGAGCATCATGGCTTCCACACTGGTGCTTCTGCTTCAGCTGCTCCTGGTCTCACTCTCATCCGCATCATCTTACTTTGGGGGAACCGTGACCTACACCTACAAAGGAAGAAACCCCGATGGAACATTTAGAGTGAGAGATACAACTTTAAATGATTTGCAACATGCATTACAGAAAATGTGTGAATATATTTTCATGGTGTCATATTAATGATAACTTATCAAGTTATCATTAATATTGTGTGTTAATTTAAATTGATTTGATTATATTCATTTGATTGATTTGAAAATGTAAAATTGTTATTTTTAATTTGTCATAGTTTTATTGATAATTATCTCTCTTTCTGAACTAGTAAAACTTCCTCTGATACTGATGATGCTGGCGTGCTGCTTAGGAACCTAAAAATACATCATGTTATTTTATTTTTTATTTTGCTTGGGGGTTTTTTGTACAGAAACTGTTCATCCAAATTTCTTTACTTCTGAGAGTAAGAAGTGATTTTGGGATGGATGTAAAATTATATGGATTGCTTTCACGGGTGCTCCTGATTCTCTCAGCAGCATCCGGGGTGTTCACTAAAAGTTTAAATTATTCTCAATTTTGCATTTTAACTCCAGAAAGCTTAATAGTTTCTCAGAATCAAGACTCAATAGTTACATTAAGTAAACTTGAGGACACCCTAAATGATATTAGATTGTAAAAACTTGTAACTTTCTTTGATCAGTACATGGTTGCAAGACAACATATAGTCTGGTCACAGAAAAAAGAAATTTACCTTTTACATTGTAGAAGGAACTGGATGACATCTTGCTAATGCTTTATGAAATTGGATGATCTTTTGACTGTATTTTAGACAGCCCCCCCTGCATAATATTACTATGGATTTTATTCTATTGTTCTTTTCTTAGTCATCTCAAGATCCAATGAGTGACTTCATTGATATATTATAACATTATAGAAAGAATTATAGATCGATATCAACTTGTGTGATTACAAAATATACTAACAAAAATGTCCTATAGCTTCAGAAGAACCATCTCTAGCTGTACAGTTACTTAATCTGATCTTTTTCCACAGGTTGACCTTCGCAACAGGGCAACCTTTGATGACTGTCAGAACTCTCTCGACTGGTTTTGTTACACCGGCAACTGTGGCTATAATACCACAAGTGAGAGAGGCGTAGTTGACTGGAGCAACAATGCACCACAATATAACAACCAATGGTGTGAAACTGAAACAGTCAGTACAAGAAGTATCCCAAGTGACAACCCTTTTCAAATGAAGTAAGATTTTTGCTTTACTTAAGGCGAGACACAACAGTCTAAAACGATGATTTTGCTTTAATCTGTCAATTTTCATAATTTTGACCGGCCTTTTTAAAACTCTCCATGTTGAATCATATATCATTTGAAAGCTTGTTTTCTAGAGCACAATGTTAGCTAGTGTTTATATCTGTAAGAGATGTGTTCCTATGACAAAGAGAAATTTTTATGCTAAGTATGTTTCTATTTCTGAAAATGACATGTTTCCTATATATATTCCTTGCCCTTCAAAGCAGTTGGAGCATCATACGTTTACACACCGTTTCTTAGGCCTTATCGCACGGAGGTTTTTTATAAATAAAATATCTTTGATCGTTCTCATTTTATGAGGCATTTTATCTGTAAAATTGTGGGAAAAAAGGGTCCAACATGAGTGACATCTTTTCAATAAATCCATGAAAACACAATATTTTGATAAACTGTTCTGTAAATGTCTGGCCTTTCGGTATATTATCACAATAAAACCAGAAAATTTAATTTGAGTATTTACAATGTGCCGGAATATGGAATTGTGCGATTTGTAAATCAGGGGATATTTAATGAGTACCTCATTTGAAGTATTTACATTTGCATATATAAATATTTAATTTGCATATACAAAAATTGAATTCATAAATAATTGTAATTTAAAAAATCTTCAATTTATGTTTCCTGTCACCTTGTAAAATATTATTGTGATATAACAAAATTTTGTGTAGGGGAGGGGGGGGGGGGGGGGGGCTTGACTGTGATGTCTCACCTGATGTGAATATTTTTGCTATATTGCTGTAATATTTATATAATATTTAACCTGCTAAAACTTCAGTTGTATTTGCTGTGGTTCTGCTTATTAGATATTGTATTTCAAGAGTGTTGTTTCCATCACACCAGCGCTGCAAGCTGTTGTTGGATCCCAACGCGAAACTGGGTTCATAATTTGAGACTTATGACTTATGTGGATTTGGGAACAAGATCTGACACTGGAAAACCAAACCAATCACCAGAAGTTGCCATTCTACCTTTGCTACGGTGAGTCCCCTGCTGTTATCATTAAACAAGATAACTTCTAATGACTTTGTTAAAGAACCTGTGGGAAATGTCCTACTTTGCCCATCAGCAGTAGAGAAATACCTCCACAGTGGCAGCCAGATAGCTGTGCCTGTCCAGAAATACTGGAATTAGGCTGAAAGCAACATTTTTTATCAACAGAATAAATCAGCAATATTTTACAATAAATAAGACAGTGCTCTATTTTCATTTTAAGAAATAACTCACATAAAAGGAATAAATGGATATGTAGAAGAAAATAGAAAAAGAAAAAACACCTAACAATAAGAAAATACACATTTTTACTTGGATTGTATTCCACGCTATGTTTACAAACAAAAACATGCCGTCATCCATACCAAGCCATAATTTGGAAAATGCTATAATCATGTAAAAATGAGTGGATTTAAACTCATTATTTTCATTGAAAATTAAGGCTGTTAAATTTATTTTATTTGACTACCTGCCTAGTTTGAGGGAAAACATGACAATCTAAAAAAGCCGAAAAGTAAATTCATTTGCACAATTTTTCTGTTGGGTAGAAATAAGGATATATATAAGACAAAAGAACAATGATTATATGGCTACAACAAAATGCAACAAACCGACGTTTGAACAGGATTAAAACGGGTTCAATTAAAAATCACGTTTCGATATTGTGAAAAGAATTTGGTTCTCAAATGATAAGGGAACGAATGGACGCAGGTTGTAGATCCTTGTTGTAATAAATTGTAATTAGGCAAAAATATAATAATCAGATAGTTTATTTTTTAAGCAGACAGAGTTTTTTCGCCACGGTGCATGCTCCGTATTTCCCCTGAAGAATGCAGGTTGATTGTGCCAGGATTTGAGGAGTTTAAAGACACGTTAACGGCTAAATCTAACATTGTGGCGGCCGACAAAGCCAAGAAGGCTTGTTGGCATCACATGGAGTAAATTTGTAATTATCTTCACAGTGTTCTTATTGTAGGCTAATTCTCTAATAGGCCCATGTATTTTATGGACTCTTCTTTTATATATCATTATACCTATATCATAATATCATGAAGATGTAAACGTACAACTGCACATTATGCTCATTGTAATAAAAGAATTGGAGCCAGGGGAGAGGGATTAAAGATTAAAGTGGGAGATTCATAAGAAACTAATCACAAATCTACAAGTTAAAAACTTGAATATTTTCTGACATTGAAAATGATGGGGGGTTTTTTTACACTTTGCAAGGCTGCAACATCACACACACATCTGCCGTGTATTATGCATGCAAGTTATTTTAGACTTCACAATCAGATTTAGCAGCGAGGAAATACTCATGAGTTTAACACTGTAGCCTATTATCATGCCGTGATAGCCAGATATTATTGCTGGTGGGCAGTTTTGGCGAGGGTACATAATCCCAAATTCATCATATATAACCTAATCACCTATTTTATTAATATAATAACACATCTACCTAAAGAAACCTCATTTCTTGACTGGCCACTCTCTGCTGTTTCAGAAGAGACACCTTTTGTGCTGTGTCAGCCACCGTAGCTGTCCTAAGAGAGTGTTGCATGGATTAAATTTGTGCTAAGACAAGAAAACAAGAATGAACCAGTAATAACTGAATTAAGCTGATCATGTAAATAAACAAGGCTGAATAAAGGAGACATAGAACAAAACCCTTGAAAAAAGAAATCAGGTCATCAACAGCCAGCAGTAAAAAAAAAAAGAAGAGATAAAACGTGACACAAGATGAGAAGTTGGTGAACAATTCCTAATGAAACTTTAACAATTAAAAATTGTTGTTCTCAAACATACTTTCTACTGATAAACCAGATAATATGAAGGCTAACAGAAAACAGGACAATCACAAATTAACTTAACTAGAATGTTTTGACTACTTACAATTGCAATTACAAATAACTTGTACTTATTTTAAAACTCAAAGAGGGAACAACTACTTCAAAGGATTAACTGAACAAGTTAAGCAAATAGTTTAAAGATGTAACTAACTACTTTTCTATCAGTTAATGCTGTAGAGGTCACACTTTTTTGTCATGAATAGGGCACTGTGTTTTTACACATTTCAATAAATAGTTATGTCACATATCTGAAATTTGGATTAAAAGTAACAGGTATATTCTGTACACAATTATTTAAACAGTTTTCACATTTGCAGGTTGGTTACACTGGATTTTTAAAACTGTGGAAGGGAAGAACCGAGGCTGGTTCATATGTGTGATTGTTTCACAACAGCACTCAGGACTGCTGTAGACTCTTACTAACTTGTGTTAATGTGTCTGTTCAAGAGTTCCTCAGAACTGCCCACGGACATACAAGCTGATGTCCTTTGATCCTGATGGTGACAAAGTTCGATGCAGATATGGAAATATCATAGGTACTGAGTGCAGCTCGTGCAACCAACCTTCAGGCTTTGACTTGGATCAGGTTAGTTGAAAAATCAATTTCCCAATACCTTGTACAACACTGGATTGATGCTTTGCCTCCCTTAACTACTAAATGTTCACATTGTCAGGGTTCTTGCACATTACACTACCGAGACTCTTATGTCAACACCGGAGTGTATGGATTTGAGTTGGTGGTGGAGGACTTCCCACAAGGGCGCATCTCTCTGGCCTACACTGATGGATCCAGATCCTCCAGGGATCCACTGAGAAAGAGACAAGCCAGATCCCCACTGAGAAAGAGACAAGCCAGATCCCCAAGGAGAAGGAGAGAAACCTCATACCCATGGTGGTGGGGGGGGCATAATACACCAACTACAACCACAGCACCAACTAC